GACGTCCTTCCTTACCTCTGTTCATGCCTGCAGTTAAAAAGCCTTATGACCAGCAGCTTGTTAGTGAAACAAAGCTGAACACAACAGTCTTTGCTGGACACACGGAAATTTATTGAATAACCCCATTGTCCATTAGGACACAACATCATGCTTCAGTTATTTGCAGCTGTAGATGTAGTTGTTTGAGGAAGGAATAAATAAGCCCTCATGGGCTTGTCACAACTAAAGTATATTTAAACCACAATTTCATGTAGGTATTGTTCCTCTTGTTTACTGTTGGAGAATTCACACAGACAAGCTGCTGTTGTCATACATTTTTCCCCACAAAGAAATAAATGAAGCTCATTTGAAATTCTTGCATGGCTGTGTGAACATCTTTTGTGCATTTTTACGTCTCGGCACTCGCATTTTATCTTTTTCCATTTCATTTCCCTGCTTTTCACCACTGTTCTACAGCAGAAAATGAAATAAGAGGAAGAGAGTGACGTCTCAGCTCTTCCATTGTCTAATGTGGAGGTCGGGAGGTGGATGAGGATGTGTTTAGGATAAGATATTCACTAGGATTTTTTTTTATTATACAGAAGGCTTTGCACATTTGTTCTGAGTAATCGGTGTGTCTGAAAGTTTAACATTTCACAGTGCAGTACATTTGTATAAGTGTTGTACATAAGCTGAAAGAGGAGGTTTATTTAGTGAAAATGGGCAATAATGTGATGCAGCAAGGCTGAAGAAGCAGGCAGAAGTATTGATTTATCTGCATATTATGAGAAGAGCAAATTCGAACAAATCACTGGAAAATAATAGCAAAAAACGCCAATCAGCAAAAAACAGCTCTCAGTAAAAAAAGAAAACAACCTATGTAAAAAAAAAAACCCTCTCCTGGGCCAGGATCCTCAATATGACTAGGCTAGCTAGCTGGAAGCTGGACGTTACTGGTGACCGTCTTATAATCATGTCTCATAATCAGAACGTGTCTTATCTGTCAACAGAACTTACAGCGAAAGACCATGCTGCACAATGTTTTACACAAACATAGGGGCAAACTATTTTGTACATGAAATATTGCGCTGGAGCTCACGATAAAGTCCCCCGTTGATTCTCACTTCGTGTTGGAAAAGCACCTGAGGTGACGCATTGGGCCTAATCGGCGGGGGCAGACGACTGATGCCACAAGCTTCAGGTCGATTGCAAGTGGTTTAAGTCACAGCAAAAGCCGTCCCACAGATGTGAAACAAACACGTTGTTATACTTCCACTGCCAAAGCATTTTGGGAAGTAAATTTTTTTTATGCGGTGTGGTTTAGTGATTTTTCCAGGAAGGAAATATTTGAAGAAATATTGTTAAAAAAGAAAGGATGAAAAACAAAACCCGATGCCTGTCTCCACTGTATTTGTCTACGAGGGTAAACCGCTGTGTGGGGGCGGAGGCTGGAGTGTGTTTAGCTTCCCTCCTGCAGGGTCCTGTATTTTGTCATTTGGAAGGGGGGGAAGTGCAGGGAGCAGATGCCTGATGTTTACTCCTCGAGTTTTCGGCTCGCCAGTTCCCCCTCCGCCTAAAAGCAGAACCGTGTTTGTCATTGCCTGTGGCGAGCTGAACTTTACAGGCTGTAACAGGGACGCTGTCCCAAGGTGACTCCCGGAAAACAGCAGAGTGAAAAGAAAAAAGGGACAAAAAAAAAAACACAACAACATCTGGACTGCAGGCAGTGGTGTGTTGTTGACCACTTGGTCATATGTTTAACTGCTCCTACATTACTTAAATAAGATATAATGGGCTCTCTGTTTCTCAGAATGCCATGGTGATTGGTAAAATGCTCTACAGACTGCCTCAGTGCTGTTGACATGTGGAGTCCCAGAGGATGACATGAGGTCACACCATGGGGACACCTGTTATGGGGGTTTCCCCCAGGTAGTTCCCGCAGTGTTATTTGATGAGGTACAAAGGGACTGTGTACAATACAGTATGCTCCAGAAAAATGCCCTACCCCCCACCCCTACATTTTATCATGGGAATGCATGTGCTGTAAGTGGTATGGCAGCAGCTATTCACCCAGACTGTGGACCACTGAAGCCTAACTGCTATTCTACACTATAACTACTGTGATTCCAGCTGTACAAATGTGTTACAGTAGTGGTACACAAATCTTGGATCCTGTCCAAATTAGGATGACATTAAGGTGCAGCCAGGGCTAGGACTGTAATGCACAGTATAACTGATATAACCATATGTAGCAAATGCCAAGTGTAGCAACTATTCATTAGTTCTCTTTTTTTGGTATTTTCAGGCATATCCATAGACAGGAGAATTAGGTTACCAAGCATTTTCTAAGTGGAACAGTATCTTTTTCTAATATCAAGTAGCTTGTCCACTAGTTAGCTCTATCTATTTAGAAAAAAAAGATTGGTAAGTTATTACAGTCTTCACCTAGTTGAGATGGTCAGCACCTTCAGGTGTGAAAAGCAGAAGTGTCTGAAAACATTTATTGATTCATATAAAGACATGAAGGCTGCCATGTAAATCAGGGAATATATCTATATGTATAATTCATATCGATCTTGCACATTAAGGATTGAAAAACTAGACTGAAATAGCAAAATGACTGCAAAAGTAGTAGACTACATTTTAATAAATTAATAATTACATTTGAACAAAATGCACTCTGTAATGCTCATGGGTAATTATGAACTTTATAGGGGATGGATTACAATAAGACTGGGTTCAAACTTGTTCAGTCTCTTATGAAAAAGCCCTTACTTTGTTACTTTGTATTGCAAATGCAGACCAAAAAAATGCTGATGCAAATACACATAGGTCAACCTATCAGATTGTTCTGGGGGCGGAGCTGAGAGGCAATAACCCCATGCAGACAAGAGTGAGTCAATTTTACGCTACAGGTAAAGTTGTGTACATTTGAGAAAGTGGAGAAAACCAGTGATCCAGCCAGAAGAAATACAACCCCACCCCCCTACAAATTGCTGTGACAGACAAGGCAAACATAGTAGCAGCACTTCCATCAGAGCATGGTCAGCTTCCCCTTTCTGCCTTTCCGCCGTTGTTTTCCGTTTCACGTAGAAACACCATCACCTGAGTAATGGGGGCTCGCAAAAAGGTGCACTCGCTCCATAAAAATCCATTTCAGTCAAAACGTGTTCGATGCCGAAGGTCTGTCTCCTTTCGCACCGGCTATCTGTGATTGGAGTGTCTCACAGCGGCACTCATAGCCGCTGTGGAGTGGGTGTCCTGATCGGCGGAATGCTCTGACCCGGTTCCGGACCTACCCCTTTGTCCGGCGCACGCGGCTCTCTCCGCCCCTCATTATTCTCTCCACAGTCGTGAGAGGATTAATGGTGTCAAGAGCTCTCCCTGATGAAGCTCTTCAGCTTCGCAGCCCCCTGGGGATCGATGTGGAGCTCCGCACCGGAGAGAAAGTTTGAGCCGGCCGCTCGCAGGACGCTTTTCAGGGAGTTTTCTCCTTGAGATTTGAGGATGGTCTCAGCACCCATGTCGTGTGTTCGTGTTAGTTATTTTTAGAAATGGGTGATGGAATTATGTTATGTTTCCCTGTGAAGAGCAACAGCATCCTGCACCATCCCCCTTAAACAGCACAGTACATCTCTGCTGATCATGTGTTTAAACCACCCCAGAATCAAATACAGCTCAAGGCGTCAGTGGTTATTGTGACATTTCTATGCAGTACATTTGAGGTATGCCTTGGTGTAGGCCGAGGCTAGTCTCTCAATCAGATATGATTCCAAGGTCCTGCTCACATATGCCTGTTTGCTTTGAGGGCATCTTTACCTAATCGTTACATTGACATATGTGAGCTTCAAAGAAGAGGAGGATCAAACTGCTTTGATGCAAATTATGGATTACTGATTAAAGTGAGCAAGAACACAAGATGTGCCTTTGTTAGTGATGTACAGTCTCCTTCACAATCTCTAATGCTGGTTCCATTTCACTGAAGTAGTAAAATATATATAAGATTGATTTTAACCTGCTGTAGGTCATATAAGGCTGCAGGATGCATTGTTTCAAGCATTAAATAAACCATAAACAGATGGTCACTAGCTGTAGGAAGTGGATTTTACCTCTCTCTGAGCTACTGTTTTTGGTTATGCTCTGCTTTCTAGGTTGATTTCATGGATTTGTTTGTGCTACACTATGAAATCACAATACATACATGTTTAATGTAGGTATTACGGACACTGACCATAAACAAACTCAACTTTGGTTGTGTTTTATGTACAGGAATTGCTCAAAGGCAAAAATCATGCTTTGGTGCTACCTCTCATGATCTCTCAAAAAGTTGAATGTAAGTTAATGTTGTATACAAACATTCCCCTAATGCGACCAGAGTTAATTACATTGCTGCCAGCTTGAAACTCGAATCACCTAGCAAGTGCCAACTAGTTAGCAACGCTGATACAGGAAAGCAACAAACCCAAGAGAAATGTATGTTAATTACTTTTGATGAGCTGTAGCATAGTCATTTAATATCCTTAATTTTCTGTTTTTATTTTTTACCCCAATATTGTAAATAGCAAATTATTTTGTGTCAGCATCTCCTAAACAGGAGATGTGCAAAAAGCTGAAACCACTGGGAGCTGGCTTTGCATGGGGTGGTACCACTGCTGGGTACCACATATGCGCAATAGTACTTGGCATTGAAAAACTATTTATGGGCAGAAGCAGATGAGTTCCACAAACTGACGGACAGACAGGTGTACACAGCTGTCAAGACATGGCATCCCTCAGGAGACAATGGTATACCTGTGGAAGCCCAGTAAACTACCACTAATCAACTTACACCTGAATCCGGCCGGTGAGAATCAGGCATGGATCTGTAGTGGAACTAATCTTGCGCTGGTGTGCATTTTGTGTGCAAGGGTATGTGGTATGCATGCACAAAATAATGATCAACTTTATTGCACAAAAAATGCACATAAACTGAAGTCTGTTCAGCAGCAGCACATATGTACATACAGTACATATGTATCGGCAGCAAGGTGGCTCAGTGGTTAGCACTGTCGCCTCACAGCAAGGTCCTGGGTTCGAATCCCGGCTGTCCCAGGTCCTTTCTGTGTGGAGTTTGCATGTTCTCCCCGTGTTTGCGTGGGTTTCCGCCGGGCGCTCCGGTTTCCTCCCACCATCAAAGACATGCATGTTAAGGTTAATACTCCTGTCAGTGCCCTTGACCAAGGCACTGACAAAAGAACTGGAGTTGGTCCCCGGGCGCTGCACTGCGGCTGCCCACTGCTTCGGATGGGTCAAAAGCAGAAGACGAATTTCCCCACGGGGATTAATAAAGTGTACCATTTTTACATACATGAATATACACACACAACATCACTCAGTGATTACGGCTCAAATTTTTGATTGACATGACATGAAGTTTTATTAAAATGTTGTATTCACAAACTCAGAGGAAAAACTATTGTCCCTGCCATAAGCACCGTTCTTTACTTGTAATAATGCCAGAGTGAGACTGCAGTTACTTCTTAATGGGTGGAAGCAATAATGATGGCTCATACAAACTAATAGAAACTTTGCTCTCAAATGCAAAAAACTAAATATATATATAGTCTCAGAAGCGCTCATGTAAAAACATGTCAATTACCCACTGCGGACATAATCTGACACCTCATCATATTTGTGAGAAGCAACAATTAGCACCTCATAATTACCTGATGAGATTCAGCTGGTTTTCAAATTCTCCTCCGCTGAATCCTCCCAAAAACAAATGGACTTACTTTACCCCGCGGCGTAATTCTGTAGGGCATGTTGCAGTGTGTCTAATACAGAGCCCTACTGCTAAACGCACCATGCATGTTAACACATCTCACCTCATTAACAAGTCGACAGTGCACGTGTGTGGTTCCATCTCAGGCTGTCTCCAGCATAATTCTCCTCAATGCAATTATACCGATAAGGATCTTTTAGCAGTGCTTTTAATAGAGGAACATAATTACTTTATATTATATTTAAATTACGTTACGAGTTTGAAGATTGGGGATTAATACAGCACATCACATTACCAGTTTGAATTGTGGAGACCAGTCCAAGTACCTCTTTATTCAAGGTGCTTGCACAGAGACCACAAAACACAATGGAGGAAGGGGAAGATCAGTTCTGTGTTTAGTCAGCATTAGGTCAGTCAGTAACTGCCAGTATGCTGTACTCACATCATTGCCAAAGAGCAAGCAGTGGCTCGTCTCGGCTGATTAATTAGCTCTCAGCGTAATGATGATAAAAAACACTGAGCACACAGACCTTCATTCTGCTCCTCCTCTCTATTGGAAATTATCAGCATAACATTTCTTTGCAAATTACATTCTTTTTACTGCTTCTGTTAGTTCTGCCGTTTTTCCTTCCCCCTGTCCCCCTCACTCTCTCTCTCTCTCTCTCTCTCTCTCTCTCTCTCTACTTTTTGCATTGCACTCTTTTTCCATGTCTACGTTCTGCTTATTTTCTTGTCTTTCCGTCTGTATGCCTGTCTGCACTGCATAGTGAGAGTGACTCATGTCACTTAATTTTAGATCAAAGTGACATCTGCCCATTGAGTAGCTCTGAGGGGACTTCAGGGAGAACGGTCAGTACAAAGGCAATGTGGTCATTACACCGTCAATGTTACCAGCACCCTACACAGCTACTTCAGAAGTACAGAGAGCAGATTTAGAAAATGCTGTCAGTGTACTTTCAAGAGCATCTGCGTAACCATCAACCATTCTTAGTATGAATATGACTTTGAAAACAATAGATAATGGATCAGTCTAATTTTAGGGAGTATGGGGGACAATAGTGCTGAGAATTACAATGAACAATGGAAGAAGGCATTAATGTAGTCATTAATGCAGATTACAAAAATGTAGTCACATTTTAGGGGTGGGGGGGGGGGGTGGCAAATGATAGTGCTGGGACCTGTGCATGTTTTAATAAATGGAGTTGAATATATTTTGTTGGCTCTCTCCCTTCTCCCAGCTCAGAAGGTGGTTGGGTTGTGTGATTCTCAGGTGAGGAGTGTTCCTGTCCCAGCCTGACAAAACACTGACCAGGGAAACACCGTGTGGAGCAGTTGGTTGGGAATGTAATCATTTGCTTTCGAATGTCTTTCCTTGCCTTTTCATTTGTTCCTCTTTGTACTAAAGGTGAGGGTGGGGGTCCTTCATATTCATTATAGAGAACCCCAGCTCGGTTTTACTGTTTCTCAGTGTCGGCCATCTTTCTGCTGGCAGTGGACAACCAGTGTTTTGTTTTGTTTTTTCTTAAACTTTTATAACTGGAGACTGAGGCCCCATATTTTAGAATAAAATCTTCACTGACATGGAAGGGTGAATAATCTTGAAATTAGTGTCTCTCTGCAAAGAAGTAATACCAGCTTTTTGATGACCCTTGAGCTTTTTAGCTAAAATACCTTTACATTTTCATGCATAAGTCATGTGGTCCATATGGTTCAGGAGACTGACCATGCTCTACCTTATATAATCTAACGTGCTCACTCATGTAATGAAACATTTTGTGCCTGCATTTTGCTTAGTATTTCTAACACCTTCTTCCGGGCTGTTGGCTTTTCCTTCAAGCTGACAAACCACCATGAAACACAAAGAAAATCAATGCAGACCTTTTGACGTGGCAGTCCCTGAATATTGTCACACTCCTCTGAATGCACGGAGAGATAATTAATGTGCTGTAATTGCCAGCAATTAGCATCAGAACCATTACTTATGAGAGACTAATCACGGTTATGCAAATTGCAAGTGTGCTAAAGTTAGCATTCGCACAGTGCGCCCTCAGAAACGGCTCTGGGTACCTTTGTGGTAGAACAGCATTCAAGTTGTATTGAAAAATGAGGCAATCAATCTAGGTCTCTCTAGATCTCTAAGACTCTTATTACTTACAAGAGTGTCTTAACTCAGTCCTGGCTGTAGTGAGCAGATGGAACAAAAACATGCAGGTAATTTTTCCACAGATTTGTTTCATTTTTGTTTTGCCTGGATGACATTTTCATTCAAAGAAACAAAACAATACTTTTAAGCCATGTTACAGTATTTATGGTCTGATATATATTTTTTCCACAGTTTTTTCACTTTCATGCTTATTCGCTATAATTCTGGCTTTGTTGTTCCTGTGTTCTGGTTGTTTGTGCCGCTCCTGTGATGTGTCTCCAATGTATTATGCCATCTTAGCTTTCATAGCTGCTCTGGATAAGAATGCTTTGCCAAATATAGGATTATTAATAATGAACGAGCCACATGCTCGGAGTAAAGTTGTTTGCTTGAGGATGCAGCAGGAGTGTCGCAGGTCTTGGGTTCTGTGCCTTTGGTCCTCTCCCTGAACCCTCCAGTGGAGAGCCTCTTCCACACGGCCCTTTCCCTCTCTCATGATTGATTGCTGCACTCTTCAGCACAGGTGGAAGAGCCTCACTCCTGGGTACACCTATACAGGGGCAAGGGTTCAACCTCAAGAATTTAATGATTTTACATTTTACATTAACATTTATTAACTTGGCAGACGCTTTTATCCAAAGCGACTTACAAGTGAGGCGGAGTACAGCACAAGCAAAATACATATAAGGAGTTAACAATATGAGAATTTGCTCATACCCGTCTCCGCCATGGTCCACAGAAGTGAAACCACAATCATGATGAACTCCCAACTCTTATCCAAAATGAAGAAAGAAGGTGGGGGGTACCTCCCCCTGTCTGAGGAGATAACCCTGTACAGCCACTGCAGCTGAATAATACACTGTCAGGGGCAGAATAATATGATTCAGAAAACAGGCAGGGATTCTTTTATTTTATCTTTTCATAAATATGCATTCCTCTAGAAAAAAAAAGTCTTGATAAATGCGATTTTTTGTGATTAAGTCTGGGAGCCACTGTGAGACTTCCAGCAGCTCCAGGTAAAACATGAATTAGAATGGAGTGCAGCAGCACTAAGTCTGAAGCCTGTCTCCAGCTGTCTGTCTGATGGGTGCCACATTTAGACTTTTTCTGACTTAAGAAAAAAAAAAAACAAGCAGATTGATTGCATTGTCACTTTTCAGGTGGCTCTTTGGCACTGGAGTAAAATCTTTACATGTGGTATTGGAATTGACAAGAGACATTTGAATGTGACTTGAATGAAAGTATAAGCTGACAGACCCCTATTGATAACAGTCTTCTCATTGCCTGTGTTCATGCACATTTTTGGAAAATATGTGAAGAAGTGCTTGGCTCACTAGGTGGTGATGATACAGTGACAAACACAGATGTCTGTATGCACTTAAAAAGATTCATTTAAATACCCAAGGCTTTCGGTATGGCAGAGTTGGAGTCAATTTGCAATATATGCAACAAATATAAAGGACAAAATTTATGATAGAGCTGAATTCCAGTTGGATTGTCTGTTACAATTCAGTGGAATAGGAGTTTGAATTGGCCAGAGCCGATTAATAATTGAGAATGGACCATAACCTCAGAAATGGTGGGTACTGACCCTGATACTTTGTGTTGTCAGATCCAAAAGGGTCTGGGGCTGTAGTCTGTAGATATTCCTTGCAGTGTCACGATACCTATGGAGGTGAAACATAGATGGAATGGTCAGAGCCTTGCTGCAATGGAAAGAAATCATGATGAAGCCAGGGTTCTGGTTTGTGATGATGTAAGGGAAGGTTCTGGATGGATCTCAGGGCTTCAGAGATTTAAACACTCAGCTGCAAGTGCCTCTACCACTCAATCACTAGAGCTCTGAACTTTGGGGGGGAAAAAAAAACCTCTCTGATGAAGAAAACCAGTCACCTGTAAAAATGGCATGCAATTGGTTTATTTAAATCAGATGTGCAGTAAATAAGCACATGAATTAATGACATCATCTCTCTCGCTCCACTGAACCGACCCCAGACTGCCTCGTGCAAAGTGTTAATGATGAGCAGTCAGGCGGTATATACTACATTATGTCTGACTTATTAAATACTGAAAAGCTTAACTTGTTGGCAGGATTTATGAACACTAAAATGGTTGTGTGTATTAAAAAAAAATTAAAACTCCCATTTTCTTAAGGATTGCTTCAGATTCAATCTAATAGGACCAGGA